ACTCTACCCTGGCTGAAACCAGGACAGTACTCAATATGAGTATGGGTGTTCACAGACATTTAATTTCCTGGCTAAACAGTTGCGTAGTTCTGCAGAGTTCTAGAAGAGTAAGGAAAAGAAAAGAAACAGTATGAGCTGTGAGCATGGAGTTCTTTTGATAAAATATTTCAGGTGGGGGCTCACAGGATACGGTCCTTCCACTGCTGCTTAGCGCTGGGTATAGCCTACCTAAGGGGTGCTTTTGTAATTTATTAAGATACTTAATTTTTAGACCAGAACCTCTATTAAGTCACCTCATTAAGAGAGACCTTGAGACCCACTTACTTCTCGCTTGCTACCAATTTTTAAGCCATGTCTTGTTCAGGTGAAGCTCCCTCAAAATAAATTGGTCTTTTTCTTAAGAGCTCAGAAATTAAAGAGTATGAAGCAAAATAAGGAAGGACCGTGAGAGCCCAGACAAGGTATCGGGAAGGAGCGCCGCTGTTAAGTGATTACACTGCGGTTGTTATTTCAGCGCTGCTTTGTTCTGACAGAGACCCGAGTTGCTTTTCTTTCATTAATTTGGTAGTGTAGTATCGTTAGGAGAAAACGTAGAGGCCTCTCGATAGCTTACCACACACTGAGGATAGCTTCCCAGTTCATTAGTTACGCACATCTTGAAGTTAATCCATAATTCATCAGCTGTCTCTCCGAAACACCCGATGCAGTCCGAACGATCCCAGTTGGATCTGGACGTCCATTCGCTCAGCTGGAGGGGTTGGATCGATCCCTTGGGAAGCAACACGCGTCGGACTCGTCTGCTGCAAAGCAGACCTGGCCATTTGGTGCAACAATCCTCGATTTCAGCTCTGCTCTCTCTAAAAAAGGGGATTTTTGCCTTTTGGTTGACGATAGGAGGAATTATGTGTTTTACCCCAGTCTCTCCCCTCGCCGGGGATCCAGAAAGCCTGCCTGTGACGCTGCCCAGCTGCTTCTCACGTTAAAACAGCTTGTTAAGATCTTTCCAGGAGAAGGGAACTGTACATAGAGTTTCTTGCTGCTGTCAGTACTTTTCCATGATAAATGGGGGGTGGTGTGGCACAGTGGATAGGCAGTTGGCCAGGAATTCTGGCTGGGACACAGCTAGCCAGCCAAACCATTTTCTGCACCCTTTTATCCCAAAGCTCTGTAGAAGTAAAACTGCACAAAGAGCTAAAAATTGTAATTACTTTTGTGTATTTTCATTCCCAGTTATTAAAACCCGTCACTTGAAATAAGTTCCTGTTTGCGGCCTCTGCAGGGACGAGGATGGTGAGAACCCAGAGACCTAAAGCTGGTGACCAGGGACTAAAATAAATAATAGAAAACCTTAACGGCGAACCTGAACAGCTGGATAAATGCGAAGCAGCGCCGTTTGGTGTCCGTGAAATACAAAGATGGCATCTCGTACAGATGTTTTTCCTTCAGATAAAAACATGCTGCCCGCGTAGGGGCCTGACTAGTCAACCTGGCTGCTGAGCAAGTCCAGGTTTTCTTTCCTAACTTCAAACAAACTGTGCGGCCGGCAAGGAAAATCCTGTCTCTGGGCTACCAGATGCTAATTCTCCTTGCACTGAAATGGTTGTAGGTTTACATTTTTGTTTGCATCAGGCGAGGTCCTCTACGGCGCAGTTCTCCTGCCCAGAAAGCCCTCTGAAAAAATGGGTGAAAAGTTATAATTCTGAGAACGTGGCCTGCAGTTGTGTGTTTTCTTTGGTTCCCGCTGTTATCTCCAGCATGGGTTGTTAAAGGCTCGGTGTTTTCATGTTTTCAAAGGATATTTTTGTTCTGCGCGGTGCTCTCCTCGGCTCTGCGTTTATCGCTCCCTTTTACACAAAACCAGCCTCTTTAACTTTTGCAGTTTTGCCCAGAAACTGGGAACCGTCCTCGTTTCATCATAGCGCACGAAAGAGTGAAAGTCAGAGTTAAAATGAGATGACGTGGGTTAAAACTGGAGTTGTTGATTAGCTCTGTGCATGGCTGCTGCTGGAGTTGGCTATATGCTCCCTGTTGTTTATGTTCCTTTAACGTGATGTGTATTCCTCTCCTTGCTGCCTTCAAAATGAAAATAAAGTTAAATTAAAGTTTCCCAAGCAGCTGTAGCAATCGCTTCCCTTTAGGTTTAGGGGAAGCGCATTGCGGAGAGCGAAGGTTTTTGTTCCCTATGAATCTCAGGCACCTTCTCTCCTTATAGAGCAGTGGAAGCCCCTGGACCCGGAGGGGAAGAAGCAGTACGACAGGGAGTTCCTACTGGATTTCCAGTTCATGCCTGCCTGTATCCAAAAGCCAGAGGGGCTGCCTCCCATAAGCGACGTGGTTCTCGACAAGGTGAGAGGAGAGCCGATCAAGCAGGTGCGTGCAGTTTTTTAGCTATAACTACAGATCCCTAATGCGTGCTTCGTTCCTTGGTTGTTTTGATGCAGACTTTTGTCAGGAAGGGGAAATGCTTTGCTGGTGTCACATCACAAGATTCTTCAAATAGAGACATTGGTGCCTAATGAATGAAGATTTGAAAACTGAAGCATTTTTAATGGTCTCTATCTGGATTACGTTATACGCAGTTGTTATTAGAAATTAAAATTATAAAACCATGACGATCTGAGGATATAAGCAAAGCAAGACTGAACAGAGAGGCAGTGTCTTCTATTAGATCAATTCTACGGTTAGAAAGCGTAGGCAAGCTTTTGGGCAAGCTCTTTTTTTTTTTTTTTTTGGTCTGAAACAGTTGTGTCACTATTTATGAGCTGATCTAATAAAAGATCTTTAAAACCTTGACTCAAAAGGTTTTATGATTTCTATCCAGCCTTATTACAGATGTGATTCTCTGCTGTGTGTCTGTGCTTATTGAAATCCCTGTTGTTTCTGAAGCGCTGACACCACGACCTTATTCTCCTCTCAGTTAGAGCTATGTAGTTAGTTGATTTTGATGTAACAGCTACAGACTTAAGATTCAAGATTAAAGCTTAAGATTCAAGCACAGATCAGGACATAGGTGATTCTCATGTGCAGAAACATTTCCACTCTGAATTTCCTACCCAGACAAATTGTAAAACGCAGCTTTGTTCCCAAAACAATTTCACCCACCTCCTCGTTTTCTGTGATTACTTCTCACTGCTCTGTCTTTCGGGCTTCCTTTGCTCGGTCGGCCATCTGTCTTGTTAACACAAAAGACATTTGTTTGAGGGAAGGCAGCAGTTTTGTGATCCTGAGCCAAGACTATCACATTCATTTTGCAGAAGTCGGGCCCATGTCGCCATAATTTTATCCTCCGTAAGTCATGCCCAGCCTCAAAATGTTTCTGAACTCCCACCTATTTCCTCGATAGCCACCTGCGGAAAACGTATTTTAAATTAAATGAATGTTTTTAGTGTGAGTGTGGATGTGTAAAACTTGCACGGTTTCTTAAAAGCATTAATTTGGATGTTAAATGTGACTGTTGTGGTTTAGCAGCGATTGTCTGTAGACTTACATGAACTGTGGTAGCTGCAGCACCTGCTGAACAGATCCTGT